TTCCTTCACAGTAAATTTCTTCTAATTGTTCGTCAACAAATATAGTTTAATTTGAGGTGGTAGAACATAACGTAGCTAAATTGATAAATCTGTACAAAAATTCTTACGTGATTGTTCATTTTCCTTTTCGCTGTTTTTACTTCTTCGTTGCTGATATTCACATTGGGTTTCGCCTAATTTTCCCCAACAATATATATAGTCTCCACGTTTTCATTCCAATAATTAAAAAAATCACACGCCTTTTAAGCGCAACACGTATGTATTAATTAAATACTGACTGAATGACTTCTAACATGAAACATGTGCCTATTATAGAGTCAGTTATTACCACGTTAAAAACGAGAAATCTATCATAATCAAGTTTTACATACAAAAGTTTTTGTTTGTTTTCCTCTTAAGATTTTCCTATTTTTACTAAAATTGCAAAGATATGAAGACTCTTATGTATCAAATTGTAATGACGATTCGACCACCGAGGGTCGTGGTGTAGTGGTAAGAATGTTTTTGTTAAGTCTTTTCTACCTATTTTTTCAAGGTTTGATACTCTGCATCTACGCGTTGTTGTCCTACCCTTATGAGAGATTAAGTGGGCCTTAGGAGGCCTCACATGATTGAAGGAAGTGAAAATTGGTTAGTTGGTCGGTGGGAAACTAATTCAGACCCTTTCTACGTACTCAATAGTCTTTGGGATTGCCCCTATAGCTAAAGGGGTTAGGGAACATGACGTGCACCACCAGATTTTTTTTAATTAGCAAAAAAAAGAGTATATTGCAATAATTTTACAAATTGAGGAAGTAATTTGTTATAATTAAAAGTTTGAGGGGACAATTTATTAAATCATGACAAATTTAGGGAGTAAATGTGCTGAAAACTCTAAAAAAAAATTGTAATGACGATTCGATCATTTTCTAAAACAAAAAGGAAAAAGAATTAGAGCATGGGCTGGTATTTGACCAGAACGGAAGTATTAACTCCTCTGCAAGTATGTTTAATGTGTGCAATGAGAGAGAGAGAGAGAGAGAGAGAGAGAGAGAGAGAGAGAGAGAGAGAGAGAGAGAGAGAGAGAGAGGAAACAAAAAGCAAAAGAAAGAA